ACAGCCAACACAGGCTTTCTCTCCAAGTCCTCGTGACCTGCTATGTGGCAAGGCAACTAGGGGTTCCGTGGCCAAAATAAAATTGGGAAACACTGGTCTACAGCATAGGTAGGGTCTGACATGTCCAGCCAAGGATTCATCTCACCGTTCAGACAACTTCCTCTACCGCCTCCTGGACCAAGAAGGGAATCTGAGCCAAAGAACCGGGCGAGCCGAGCCCCCCAGCCAGGAGCTTTGCGCACAGAGCCCTTGGGGAGCTAGAGCTGTCCTAGAGCAAGAGCTGGCTCGGCAGGATAAGGGATGCCCAGAAGATAAAGAGATGGGGTGGGTTACTGAGTGACCTAGGGGATAGGGCATTCACCTGGGGACTACAAGCCCCCCCTGCCCCACGAGAGCAGCTGAACAGCCAACACAGGCTTTCTCTCCAAGTCCTCGTGACCTGCTATGTGGCAGCAGCAGTCTGAGCCCTGCTTGTGGGTCTTGGTGTCAGACCTGCAAGACCTCACTAGAGCTCATATCCTGAGCAGTGTGTTCCTGTCCTACCCTAGGAAGGGGGGATGGAACAGGCCACAGGGGCGACTGAGTTGTACCCTAGAGCACTGTTTCCCAAATGGTGTTCCACAGAACCCTGGGTTCAGCAAAGTGAAAATAAGGGTTCCAGGAGAAAATTCCATTACAATAACATGTTATGATTTTTAAAAAATTAATATTACAGTAAAGTCTCAATTATCTGACCTTCGTTTATCCGACATGCCGTGTTATCCAACGTACCGCCCATCACATCATGGCAAGGGGCTCCAGGGAGACTGGACAATGGCCTTGTTTTCCCTTTTCCCTGTTCCAGGGCTGGGCGGGAGATCTGGTTGGCAGGTCTGCAGCTCCCTCTTGTGGCTGAAGAATTCACCATCAGCAAAGTAGCTTTTTCCCCCTGTTTTTCCTGTTTCTGAGGAAAGCAGCAAGCACCTTGCCTGCGTCACATCATCGCTAGGGGACATGGAGTGGTGCATGGCAAAGGCTGTGCTCCCGCCGCAAGGCAGAGCCCTGGATCTTACTCCCGGTTGGGGAGAAATACAAGGGCTGGTCAAGGCAGCAGATTCAGGAGGTTTAGAACTGGACCTCTCAAGGTATTACAAAGTTCAAATTTATAAAATTAATTACTGTATTAAAAGAATTTTCCGTATTATCTGACATTTCCTTTATCCGACCATCCTCTGGTCCCATTTAGGTTGGATAATCGAGACTCTACTGTTTGCGATTTTTTGTTTTTAAATCTAAATATTGATCTCATGACCTTATTTAGCATTTGTTTATTATTATACTTACTTATTTGTGGTCTGTTTTTTCAGCTCCATATATTAGACTGTTATTAGTTCTGCAAAATTCTTTCGAGTTTTAAAGGGTTCTGTGGCCAAATAAAAATGGAAAACACTGCCCTAGATAGTGTAGCAGAGCGCTCGGCTCCCCTTGGGAATAAACTGGGCCATTCCCAAGGCTGGGGTGTATGTGGAGGGGATGCATCTTTGCTGCAGATGTGTGTGTCCTGGAATCTTGTACCAGCCGGAGCTCAGTCTCTGCAAGAGGGGGAAGGAGCCTCTCCAGGTGAGTGATTGAGATGCTGGGTCTGGAAGTAGTAATGGCACAGATCTTAATGAACAAGATCAGAACTTGATTAATTGCTCCCCGAGCAGGATTTCCAATCTCCAAAGCTGATGTGATTTCCTGGGTTGAGCAAGGGGAGGAGCTGTGGATCCCAGGGCTCCAGGGCTTTGAGGAAGGAGAAATCATCAGACACATCCACAACGGTGAGCAATCCACTAAACTGACTCAGAAAGCAATTTCTGTGTCCTCATACGAGGTGTTGCTTGTGTCAGTGAGCCTTGATGAAAATGCACTTCAGCCTGTCTTCAGCTCCAGTCAGAGGGCAGGAGGGGGAAGGGATGGGGTCTCTCCTCTGGGGAAGGGCTGTGGAGGAAAAGGATGAACTCAGCTCATGATTATTCACTTTTCCAGTCATTATTTGGGTATGTTCCCCCTTTTCTCTTCCCCTTTCAGAGTTTTCCTTTCAGCTCAGAATTCAGACAGGAGTCATTCTCTGTACTTTCTCCATCCCAGCAGGTGATGGGATGGCGAGTGAGAACAAGGGGGAGAGTCTTCAGCAGGCAGGACTGGAGCGAATGACTCC